GGGACTGCTGTAGAAAGAAGAAAGAGAAAGGCAAGGAGAAACACAAACCCTAAGGGAAAATGTGACAACAAACATATACTTGTCAATAATAACATTAAACATAAATGGATTAAATGCACCAATCAAAAGACACAGGGTAGCTGAATGGATTAAAAAAACAAAACAAAAAAACATGACCCATATATTTGCTGTCTACAAGAGACCCACCTGAGAGCAAAGGATTCACACAGACTGAGAATGAAAGGATGGAAAAACATTTTTCAGGCAAATGGAAATGAGAAAGAAGCTGGGGTTGTGATACTTATTGCTGATAAAATAGACCTCAAAGTAAAGACCATAATAAGAGATAAGGAAGGCCACTACATAATACTAAAGGGAGCAATTCAACAAGAAGATACAACTCTGGTAAACATATATCCATCCAATGCAGGGGCACCTAAATACATAAAAAATCTGATGGAAGATATCAAGGGAGAGATCGACAACAATACAATCATAGTAGGGGACTTCAACACACCACTGAAATAGATAAATCCTCTAGACAAAAAAACAAAACAAAAACAAAACAAAACAAAAACCAGCAAAGAAACAGCAATTCTAAATGACACACTAAATCAGATGGACCTAATTGACATCTTCAGAGTATTTCACCCCAAAGCATGGAATACACGTTCTCTTCAAGTACACATGGCCATTTTCAAAAATAGACCACATATTGGGTCACAAGCAAAGTCTCCCCAAATTCAAAAAGACTGAAATCCTATCAAACATTTTCTCAGACCACAATGGCATAATATTATAAATGAACTACAATAAAAACAATAAAAAAAAAAAAAAAACACTTGGAAGCTGAATAGCATGCTACTAAACAATAATTGGGTTATCAATGAGATCAAATGACAATAACACAATATTGCAAATCCTGAGACACAATGAAAGCAGTCCTGAGAGGGAAGTTTATAGCTCTACAGGCCTACCTCAACAAAATAAGAAAATATGGTAATAAATCATCTAACTCAGCAACTCAAAGAATTAGAAAGAGAACAACAAGAAAAGCCCACAGTGAGCAGAGGAAAAGAAATAATAAAGATCAGAGCAGAAATGAATGACAAAGACAAAAAAAAATTCAACAAATCAAAGAGCTGGTTCTTCAAAAGGATAAAAAGATTCATGAACCTCTAGCCACGCTCACCAAGGAGCAAAGAGAGAGGACCCAATTAAACAAAATCAGAAATGAAAGAGGTGAAATAACAGATCCAACAGAAATACAAAAGATTGTTTAAAAAATACTATGAACAACTCTATTCTAACAAACTAGACAACCTGGAGGAAATGGACACATTCCTAGAAAAATACAACCTTCCAAAACTTACTCAGAAAATTTCAAAAAATCTCAATAGGCAAATAACTATGGAAGAAATTGAAGCAGTCATCAAAAAGTTTCCAGCAAACAAAAGCCCAGGGCCAGACGCCTTCACAAGGGAATTTTACCAAACATTCAAGGAAGAACTAAACCTATTCTCAGACTATTCCAAAAAAATTCAAGAGGAAGGAACACTTCTAAGCACCTTCTATGAAGCCAATATCATCTTAATACCAAAACCAGATAAAGGCAATACAATGACAGAATTACAGACCAATATCCCTCATGAACATAGATGCCAAAATCCTCAACAAAATTCTAGCAAATCGGATACAGCAGTGCATCAGAAAGATCATACACCATAACCAAGTAGGATTTATCCTGAGGATGCAAGGAATGTACAATATTCGCAAATCAATAAACGTGATACATCACATAAACAAATTGAGAGATAAAAATCATAGTCATATCAATTGACACAGAAAAAGCATTTGACAAAATCCAACACCCTTTCTTGATTAAAAAAAAAAAAAAAAAAAAACTGTCAGTAAGGTGTGAATAGAAGGACCATACCTCAACATAATAAAAGTCATATATGACAAACCCACAGCCAACATCATCCTCAATGTGAAAAAACTAAAACCATTTTCTCTAAGAACAGGAACAAGACAAGGATGCCCACTCTCACCACTCCTGTTCAACATAGTGCTGGAAGTACTAGCCATTGTTATCAGACAAGAAGAAAAAATAAAAGGCATTCAAATTGGAAAAGAAGTAAAACTGTCCTTATTTGCAGATGACATGATACTGTATATAGAATCCTAAAGACTCCATCAAAAAATTATTAGACCTAATAAATGAATTTGGCATTGTAGGATACAAAATTAATGCCAATAAATATATGGTATTTCTATACACGAATAGTGAACTTACAGAAACAGAGACTAAAAAAGCAATCCCATTTACCATCGCACCAAAAATACTGAGATACCTAGGAATAAACTTAACTAAGGAAGTAAAAGACCTATACATGGAAAACTACACGACACTGAAAAAAGAGATAGAGGAGGACATATTCATGGATTGGTAGAATCAAAGTCATCAAATATCCATAATACCCAAAGCAATCTATAAATTCAATGCACTTCCCATTAAAATACCAATGGCATATTTCACAAATTCTTCAAAAATTCATCTGGGATAAAAAAAGGCCCCAAATAGCTGCAGCAATCCTGAGAAAGAAGAACAAAGTAGGTGGGATCTCAATACCAGATTTCACACTGTATTACAAAGCCACTGTTCTTAAAACAGCCTGCTACTGGCACAAGAACAGACACATAGATCAATGGAATAGAGAATCCAGAAATCAAATCAAACCACTATGCCCAATTAATATTTGACATAGGAGGCATGAACATACAATGGAGTCAAGACAGTCTCTTCAATAAATGGTGTTGGGAAAATTGGACAGATACATGCAAAAAACTGAAATTAAATCACCAACTTTCACCATACACAACAATAAACTCAAAATGGATACATGACTTAAACATAAGACGGGAAACCATAAAAATACTAGAGGCATCCACAGGCAGCAAAAATCTCAGACATATGCAGAAAGAACTTCACTGATACTGCCCCTAGGGCAATGGAAGCTAAAGAGAAAATAAACAAATGGAACTACATCAAAATAAAAAGCTTTTTTACAGCAAAAGAAACTATCAGCAAAACAACAAGAAAGCCCACTGTGTGGGAGAACATATTTGTAAATATTATCACTGATAAAGGTTTAATCTTTACCATCTACAGGCAGCTTATACAACTTAATAAAAGGAAGATACATGATCCAATAAAATAAAAAAACGGGCAATGGACCTAAATAGAATCTTTTCAAAAGACAGATGGAAGGCCAAGAGACACATGAAAACATGCTCAAAGTCACTAATTATCCAAGAGTTGCAAATCAAAATGATAATGCTGTACCACCTCACACCTGTCAGAATGGCTATCATCAACAAATGACAAGTGTTGGTGAGAATGCAGAGAAAAAGGAACACTCATGCACTGCTGGTTGGAATGTAGACTGGTTCAGCCATCGTGGAGATCAGTATAGAGTTTCTTCAAAAAACTGAAAATGGAACTCCCATACGACCCAGTAATCCCACTCCTAGGAATATATCCTAAGAAACTGGAAACACCAATAAGAAAGGATATATGCACCCTTATATTCATAGTGGCATAATTTACAATAGCTAAGATTTGGAAACAGCCAAGGTGGCTCTCAGCAGATGACTAGATCAGAAAACTATGGTACATCCACACAATGGAATACTACGCTGCCATCAAAAAGAAGGAATTCTTATCATTTGCAGCAACTTGAATGGAATTGGAGATCATTATGCTAAGTGAAATAAGCCAGTCAATGAAAGAAAAATACCACATGATCTCATTTATGGATAACAGATCATTATAAACTGTTGAACAAAAAGATAGATACAGAGATAGTAAAGCATCAAACAGAATGTCAAATTACAGCAGAAAGGTTAGTGAGAGGTGGAGGAGATAAGAGATCAACCAAAGGACTTGTATGCATGCATATAAGCATATACAATGGACGCAAAACTCTGGGGGGGAGGGCATGTATGGAAGAGGGGTGGGAGCAATGGTCAGATATGTACACATATAATACCTTGATTAAAAAATGATTAATAAAATATTGTATAATTTAATTTATATGTTGAATCTAAAAGACAAAACAGAAACAAACTCATAAATACAGAGAACAGGCTGATGATTGCCAGAAGAGCGGGACTGGGAGAAAAAGGAGAAGGGGATTAAGAAATACAAATCTACAGCAGTAAAATAAGTCACAGCATGTAATGTGCAGCACAGGGAATCCTAAACATAAAAGCCCAGCAACCGAACCGTGGAACAACCAGAACGACTGGTTGTCCAGTCGCTATGAATGCACACTGACCACCACAGGGCAGACGCTCAATGCAGGAGCTGCCCCCAGATGATCAGTACACTCTCATAGTGGGAGCGCTGCTCCGCTGACTGGGATGAGCAGCTGCTCCCACAGTGGGCCAATCCCAGCAGGCCTCACCCCACACCAGTGCACAAGTCCATGCACCGGGCCTCTAGTAGAGTCAATAATATTGTAAGAACTATATATGATGACAAATGGTATTATGGTGACCACTTTGTAAGGTATATAAGTGTTGAACCACTGCATTGTATACCTGAAACTATTATTGTATGTCAACTATAATTTAAAATATTTCTTAAATGGGGGGGAGGGGGAATCATTGCTGGATCACTGAATTTGAAACCCCCTATGGATGACTAAACAGACTTAGGTTAAGTGATTAATCTCAAACTCAAACAGTGAGTTAATGAAGTTAAGGGCTTAGACTCATGTTTTTATCCTTTCTCCGGTATTTTGTCTACTGTGCAGAGCTGCTTCCCCCTATAACTTTGCTTCTTCATGCTTTCCCTTTTCAAGGGAAGTATGCTAGGAAAGAAACACTGAGTCAGCTAAGCAGTGCCAAAAATAGTAACTCAAAACATTTAGTGAGCACATTATAATTAGATGGCTTTTGTCAGTGAATAATAGAGCAAGTCACTCTTTTGTTACCTTCAGCAAGAACACACAACGGGTAAATCGGCATCCAGAGGGTCTGACTGAGCCATTTCAGGAAAGCATAGGAAATTCCTATGACTGATAACATGCTATTAGTGTACCTGAAAGGAGATAAGGAACTTATAAGCATCATTTGCTGACATCTGGGAAATAAAAGGATGAAATAATTTAGTATGTCATTCAATGCACAGATAAAACTGGAAATGAGTATAGAGTCCATACTTTATTTCCTGTCACTTAAGCAGAAGAGGTTTTAAAAATGGGGGAAGGGGAACCATGTCAGTCGGGCTTATGTCATGCGATGGATCGAGCAAACCATCAAGTCTCCGTGACTCATGACTTCACTTTCACTCAGAAGCCAACCAAGCCCACTGCATGCAACAGGCAGCTGGGTTGTTTGCTTGATTGCTTTTCTCCACAAACAAAACTTGTATATACTAGGGAATGACTTTTAAAAATAAAAATATGACTTCCAAGTTCTATTGGCATCCCTGTGCTTATGTAACTGTGCCATCTTAAAGAACTATCCTGAGGAGTTTGTTTGGGTTACCGTAGGTAGTTTAAAACCTTCTTTTATGTTGTAATAAGTGAAGTGGTCTAGATCTTTGTATCTCTCTGTTCTCTTAATAGGCCAGTGGTGCTCAAGTTTAAGCAAACCTCAGAATCACCCAGAGGAATTTCTAAGGCCCCAAAGTGTAAGACGCAGAGAGTGCAAGGTAGAGCCTGAGAACTTATGTTACGAACAAATCTCAGTGGCTGAGGCCACTGGTTGAGAACCACTGGAATAGGTCGTAAATACATATGGCCCAACAAAATCCAAAACCTTGAAAAGCATGGTGAAAAGTAAATCTTTCTCTCACTCCAGGACCCTATTCCACTCCTCAAAGGCAATGACCAATGCCGATTTGTTATACAGTCTTTCAGAAATATTCTTTGCATATGCTTATCTATGTGTGTATGTATTATATATACCATTTACCAACACTGCAAGTCCTCACTAAACATGGCATATTATCAAACTTTCTTATTTGTACCAATCTAAGTGAAAATTGTATCTCACTATCTTTTCTGAAATTACAACAGTAGGTATGTTTAACAGACACTTGATGAAGTGCAGTGTATCTTTTTCTTTTGTTGCTTGTGTTTCTGGTGTCACATCTAAGAATCCATTCCCAAATCCAAGATCTCAAAGATTTACCACTATGTTTTCTAAGGGTTTTATAGTTTTAGCTCATACATTTAGTTTTTTGTCTATTTTGAGTTAATTTTTATATATGATATGAGGTAAGGGTCCAACTTCTTTCTTTTGCATGTGGATATCCAGTTGTCCCAACATCTTGTTAAAAAGACTATTGAATGGTCTTGACACATTTGTCAAAAATCAACTGACCATATATATGACAGCTATCTCTGGACTATCTCATACCATTTCATGATATATCCTTATGCCGGTATCACACTCTAGATTATTGTTGCTTGTATTGTAGTAAGTTTTAAAATTGGGAAGTGTTGTAATTGCCAGTTTTGTTTTTCTTTTTCAAGATTGTTTTGACTATGCTGGGTTTTGAGTTTCCATATGATCTTTAGGATCAGCTTCTCAATTTCTGAAAAGAAGCCAACTGGGATTCTGATGGAGATTTCACTAAATCTGTAGGTCTACTAGAAGAATTTTGCTAACAATATTAAGTCTTCAATCCACAAACATGGGATATCTTTCCATTTATTTTTATCTTAATTTCTCTCAACACCGTTTTATAGTTTTTGATGTAAAGATTCTGTACTTCTTTTGTTAAATTTACTCCTACTTTATATTTTTATGTTACTGTAAATTAAATTATTTTCTTAATTTTACTCTAGGTCATTGCAAGTGTATAGAATATAATTGATTTTTGTATATGGATTTTGTATTTATAAACTTGCTGAACTAGTTTATTAGTTTAAAGATTTTTGGTGGATTCCTTATAATTTATATATATATGTAAGAAAGATGTAATCTGCTAATAAAAACAATTTTCCTCCTTCCTTTCCAATATAGATGCCTTTTACATCATTTTCTTGCCTAATCGCCATGGTTAGAACAATGGAGAATAGAAGTGGCTGGAGTAGACATGTTTGTTTGTTCCTGATCTTGGGATGAAAGCATCAGTCTTTCATTATCTATCATGTTAGCTATGAGGTTGAGAAATTTTCCTAGTCTTGCTTTTTAAAAAGTCAAAAAGGATAAGTTTGGATGATAACTGTACCCTCACTTTATAGAAGAAAATAATTTAGTTTCAAAAAGATTATACACTCTGGAATTTTACTCCTACATTAAGAGAAATTAAAATATGTGCATACACATCTTGCACATGGATATTCATGCAGTAACAATCCAAATGGATAAAGTGTGGTATATCAATATGAGGGAATACTATTCAGCCATAAAAAGAAATGAAGTACTGATAGGTGTCACAAAATGGTTGAACCTTGAAAACATTATGCTAAGTAAAAAGAGTCATTCACAAAAGACCACATGTTGTATGACTACTTATCTGAAATGTCCAGAACAGGCAAATCTATAGACATAGTATGCTAGGAGCTAGGAGGAGGGAATGGGGAGTGACTGCTGATGGGGTTGGGATTTCTTTTGGGGGTGATGACAATGTTCTCAAATTAGATAGTGGCAATGGATGCATATGTTTCTGAATACATTAAGAACCAAATTTTATACTTTTAAAAGGGTGAATTTTAAGGTCTGTAAATTATCTCAATGCTGTTATTAAAAGAAAGAAAAAAAGAAAAAAGAAAAGGTTAAGTGACTTGCCTAAAATCATAGAGCAAGTCATAGTGGAAGTGGGGTCATCCTGAGATCTTCTCCTTTTATGTCCAAAGTCTTTCCATGACAGCCTGAGGCCTCTCACGATGCACAAGTCAGTCACTGCTTTCTGGGATGGGTCTCCTGAGCTTATCTGAGCCTGAATCAGCTCAGAAGAGTCAGGCATCCCAGGGAATGATACATTGGAAAGCCCAGCTGAGGCTCTGTGTGTCACAAACAGGAAGTCATGAGCTACGAAAGTCCATGAAGTTTGTCTCCAGTCTAAAAAACCTTCTCAGTTAAAAAATGAGAAATAACTTGCTAAGTTCTATAGACCAAAAATTACAGACATTTTAATTCAACAAAATATTCTAATTCGCTCTAGGGCTCAACCCTTTTTTTTTTTTTTAACAGTATTTAAACTATGTAATACAGGATTTACATAACCTCAGCTAATTTGTTACCTGCCCACACCCAGACCTTTCAAGCGGGAGGGGCCATTCTCATTTGTGAAAGCTGAGGTGACAGTTAGGACAACCCCTCAAAGGGAGCCAGTGAGCAGGCTGTCTACCCCACTGCTGCTAGAGACAGACAAGGCTCATCTTCTTGCGAAGTTTCAGAATTAGAAGGAAACAAGATGAGCTAGTGTGCAAGCAAGGGTTCTTACCCTGAGGCCTAAGGATTCGCAAGGAGTCCACAAAAGAACTTCAGTCATGTGATCCCCCTGGAATCGCATATGAAAATATATGTGGAGGTGCATTTTTTTCTCAGGGAGATGAGGGCCTATATTGAAAAAAATTCTTGAATTTGCAGAGATCAACGCTGTAAGTTCTGACTATGACTGTGCTTTGCTTATTAGAGAGAGTAACAAGGACCAGAGCAACTGCAAGGAATGCCTTTCATTTGCGAACAGCTGTGAGGCTTATTGCAAATTGGTGGTATGCCACCACTCTTATTAGATACCTGCACTGCGGTGCTCCCGTAACTCCACGGTGGGATTGCACGTCTTTGGTATGCTCATTACAGACGGCAAGAGAAATACATTTCAATATCAAGATAAAATAATTGTTTTCTCTCTCACTCTAAGCAATCAAACCTAAGCATCGATTCATAGTTTCCCTGAAGAAAGCAATCTGGCTCTCTTTAAGAATTATTTGGCCTCCTTACCTGACCATGTCCAATAGATTCCAGAAGATGAATAAAACACACACAACATATTTCCCTTGGACTTCCTCTTGACTGGTGATCACCACAAACAGGATGATGATTCTCTCTGTGAGCTAACAACAATGACAAACCATCAGAGTCAAGAATTAGGATCATCTATTAAGCATGTAATTTTCTAATTTTAAAAAAAATAGAGTTCCTCTTAAAAGTATGCTTTAACTAGAAACATGTATCCTAAATGGTTAACGTGACCTCTGAAGCAGTAAGGATACGGGTGAGTTTCATTTCCTCTTTCTTTTTTTTTTTTTTTTTTTTGGCCTGTATTCTCCAAATCATATATAATAAATAAAAAGATAACATATTTTATCTGAACCAGGATATCTCCCTTCCTGTAATACATGCGCACATGTTTTTATGCACTTTGACAAGCTTGTATTGCGTGTCTGCTGTGTATTAGATGCTGACAGGTTATGAAAGCATGGCCCTTGCTCCAGAGGGTAGCAGCAGCAAAAAAGAGTGAGGCAGTAACTAGAACACAGCATGAGCAATGCTGTCACTCAACGTGCAATGCCCAGGTGCACAGGTGAGGAAGATGCCCATCTGGGGAAAGGATGAGATTTATAAAGAAAGGCAGCACTGCTGTTGGGTCTTGAAGAGGTGGGAGTTTTGCAGTAGACCAGGGAGGAAAAGGGCCATCCCAGGCAGAGGGAATGGCCTCAGCAAAGAGGCAGAGATGTGACAATGCAGAGGGCCTTGGGGAGGAATGAGACCCCTGGGGGCAGGAGTGGGTGCACAGAATTGTGTTTGGGTTGGGTTGTCAAGGTTTTGAATGACAGACTGAGAAATTGCAATTTCATCCAACAAGGGAGCCATCATAACTTTATTTATTTATTTATTTGGGGGGGGGGGGTGGGAGGACAGGAAGAGAAACAGAAGTAGTACAGTCCTAACTCTCATAAGCTAGTGGCAAATTAAAAGAATTCAACATACTCGTTTACTTCAAGACAGTAAGCATTTACAAATCATTGAGCATTCACATACTTATGGCTTAGCTGTAATTACTGGCCTCAAAAAATGCATGCCTCTTTCCCAACCTAAGTATAACATGCCTTTTTATGTTGTAGTAATATCCCCTATCCAGACTGCATTTTTATGTGTTTAATAGGACATTTTACTTTTCTTTCAATGGTCAAAAGGAAATTATACTGGAAATTGAGGGAGCATATTAGTGATAAAAGAAAGGGCAGGGTTGCTTTATACTTTTCAACAGCTGTCTTTGTTTTTAAAGCAGCTCAGGGAGAAAAGGCTGGGATAATCTATGACTTAGAATCATGGGCTGTTAGTCCTGGAAAGTCACTTAGTACAGAGAAATCCAAGATTTGCCAACAGTGGTCACATGATCAGAAGTCCACTTGTATAACCTCTATCAGAATGTTTATGACTATAGCAGTGAGTCAAGAGGGTCTCTGCTGAGCTATGGGCTTTAGATATGATTCAAACCTTAGTCAAACAACTAGCGCTATCTGCACAGCTGTTTTTCATTTGTCAGCCTGTTTCTTGATTTAATTTAATTCTAGTTCTATAAATTATATTTAACTGCAATGATAATCGCTGAATGACCCAAGCTTGGCAGCCTTCAGATACAAGATCTTTAGCAGCAAACAATTTAGGAACTACCTAAGCTTATGTTCAATTGGTGCCTGCTAATTAGGAAAATCATCCAGTTTTTGATAAAATCTCGAGATGCACACACATGAATGCATACACAAAACACATATTTCTTTTTGTTGTTGCTATTAATCCTCAGCTGGGGACATTTTTTCCATTGCTTTTCAGAGAGACAGAGAGAGGGAGAGAGGGAGAGAAGGAGGAAGAGAAGGAAGAGGAGAGAAGAAGAGAGAGACAGAGAAACATTGATATGAGAGAGATACATTCACTGGTTGCCTCCTGCACGCACTCCGCCAGGGGTGGGAAGTGAACCCATAATCCAGGTACCTACCCTTGGCCGGGAATCTAATCCCCAACTCTTTGGTTCAGGGACCAAAGCTCTAACCACTTAGCAACACTGGCCAGGGCAAAAAAAACAACACGTTTCTAATTACACGGTTGACTGCTGAAGAAAATATCTTCAAAAAGAGAGACTGGAGCTGCACAATGATATTCACCCTGTTCAAAATGATCACTTGATGGTTTGTGACATGTTAAGTGAGAGAATCCCAACTACATAGACATCAACAATCAGCATGCCCCCAAAAGCACACAAACCACATGCATGCATGTGGACATGTGAAGATCCCCCTGACAATGTCAGTCTAATTAAAGTATTTGATGTTTATTCCAACTTGACCATTCCATGGCAATACAATGGAAGAATTTAGGTGGAGATAGTCTTAAACTGATGTCAGCATTTATTGCTTACTTTATGCCAGGTTCCAATTATACATCCCCACATTTTTATTTTTTTAATATATTTTATTGATTTTTTACAGAGAGGAAGAGAAAGGGACAGAGAGTTAGAAACATCGATGAGAGAGAATCATCGATCAGCTGCCTCTTGCACACCTCCTGCTGGGGATGTGCCCGCAACCAAGGTACATGCCCTTGACCAGAATCGAACTTGGGACCTTTTAGTCCGCAGGCCGATGCTCTATCCACCGAACCAAACCAGTTTCGGCCCCTCATTTAATTTCCCTAACAACCCTAAGATATAAGTGCTATCATCTGCCTCTATATTTCATAGCGTGAAGGTGACCTACCTAAAGACCTGGAATCAAAATCTCAACAATGTGATTCTAAATCCCTCGCTCTGATACATGTCATCTTTGTTCCTTTACGCGCTACCCCTGTGCCTGTTCTCCAGGTCATAGTCTGTTCTTTTCAAAAGCCTCTCCTCAAAAGTTAAACCTTAAAGCAAGAACTTTGATTTTCTAAATCAACACCAAAACAATTTTGAGGAACAGACTTTAAATGTTTTCCTTTCCTTTACAATACAACCATTTCATCAGTTATTTGGAGCTTTACATTTGGGAGAACTTAGCACTTTGTCATTCTAAAACAAATCCTGTGAGAACATGACTGATTACTAATGAATGGTCTCGTAATGTTTAGAGCAACTCAAACAGGTACAATAAAAAATTCTATAACCTAGCCCCAATTAAGCATGGTGGTAATGTAGTCTGCTCAAAAGTATGGTAACTATAAAAAATATATATTTTGCATTTTTATATTCTATTGGGGAATCTTAAACTCCAGGTTAAGCAATGACTAAACCTAAGCTATTACTTTATACATGGCAGCTAGCACTTTAGCTATAAACTGTGGAAGGCAGTAAAATGATACTTCAACTATAAGGAGAATTTCCAGAATCTTAAAAAATAAGTTGGCTTTAGCCCCAAGGACTATTTCCTTTTTTTTTAAGTGTTAACCAGTCTATTAGATACATTGATGGTTTTTTGCTTTTTTGTGTGTTTTTTTAAAATATATTTTATTGATTTTTGTACAGAGAAGAAGGGAGAGAGTTAGAGAATTAGAAACATCGATGAGAGAGTCATCTATCAGCTGCCTCTTGCACACCCCCTACTGGGGACATGCCTGCAACCAAGGTACATGCCCTTGACCAGAATCGAACCCGGGACCTTTAGGTCCCCAAGCCGACGCTCTATCCATTGAGCCAAACCGGTTTCGGCCTCAAGGACTATTTCACTTTTTCAATCCTATGAACTTTTGTTGAGAACTTCATATATACACCCTTATCTGTTTAAAAACCACCAATTACTTTCTTCTATAAAAAACATTTAAGTAATTCTAGTTTTATTATTTTGTTTACTCATCATTCAATAGATATTTATTAAGTGTATTGTTCTGGGTCCAGGGGGAGGGTAGCTATGAACAAGACCAAGACACAACCCTCATGGTATTGACATCCCACTTACTGAGAGACAGTAAACAGAGGTAGCATAATAGTTGAGTTCAGAACAAATAGCCTAAATCCAGATCTTTCCTGCACCAATCAAAATTTATGTCATCATGGGTACTTTAACTTTTGTGTTCAGTGGTTTTACTGGAGATGATAATCAGTATTATATAGCAAATATATAGAATACAGTTGTGAATATTGAATGAGTTAATACATATGAAGAACTTAGAAAAGTATTTGGTGGCACATAGAAAGCCCTATATATGTAAGCTATTGTTAGGAAAATATAATTTAATGCAGTGATTAGTATTTTATAGAAAAATACTTTTTCTATATAGATAATCAAGACAATCAGTAAAGAGTTAATCTTAACACTATGCTGTGAATATAACTTTATAATTAACACACTGAAGAACTCCATGAATCAAATGCAAAATACAAAAAAGAAATCTAAAATCTTGCCTACCAGGTGCCTTGCATGTGCGATTCATCCCCAGGAGAATCTCAAAGCTCGACACTATCTTCAGTTTTATCTCTAACCATACAAACCTATTTCCAACTCAAAACTAGAGAAAAAAGTCTATATGATTTTTATGGAAAATAAGAATATTTAATCTGGCACTGTAACGAAGTACCTGTTTCATAGCTAAAAAGAAGTTAGGGTACATCTTGGCTATTTTCCTAAAAGGGTTTATTTTAAAACATCCTCTGGGGGTATTTCCCTTATACTTGTTCGCTGTGACTATGAAATCTTTGGAGTGGTTTTGCTTGCCTTTCAGAAATCTAAAGTGATGTTGGCAAATTTAAAGATGATCCTTGCAATTTGGGCTCCCAAATGAAATTTTTATAGGCACAATAATATTGGGATAATAATCTCTATTGTTTATTTTAGATGTTTTTAAAAATTGTGTAAAATTAATACACGTGCAGCCATATTGTTGTGATGCAAAGGGAAGGATGCAGAGTTTGGCCATCTTAATGCATTTATGTTTGAAGTCCTTGCATTTCGAGCATTTCTCACAAGATAAAGGAGTAACCTGGTCGCTCTGAGGCTTCCTGAAGACATGCCAATCTAATGACACAAAGGCTTGTAGTGTGAATATTTCCCCTTCTTGAGCTGAAGCATCCTCAAGTTCAACAATAAAAACCTCTTTCTCAGGCTTCCACTCAAGCCAAGCCAGAACAAAGCCATTCAAA